ACAAAGCGAACCAAAGACAAAAACCACATGATTATCTCAATAGATGCAGAGAAGGCCTTCGACAAAATTCAACAGCCTTTATGATAAAAACTCTCAATAAACTAGATATCAAAGGAACATATCTCAAAGCAATAAAAGCTTTTTATGACAAACCTACAGCCAATATCATACTGAATGGGCATAAACTGAAAGCATTCCCTTTGAAATCTGGCACTAGACAAGGATGCCCTCTCTCACCACTCCTGTTCAATATAGTATTGGAAGTTCTAGCCAGAGCAATTAGGCAAGAAAAAAAAAATAAAGGGTATTCAATTAGGAAAGCAGGAAGTCAAATTGTCTCTATTTGCAGACGACATGATTGTATATCTAGAAGACCCCATTGTCTCAGCCCAAAATCTCCTGAAACTGATAAGCAAGTTCAGCAAAGTCTCAGGATACAAAATCAATGTACAGAAATCACAAGCATTCCTATATACCAATAACAGACTTAAGGACAGCCAAATCAAGAACAAACTGCCATTCACAATTGCTACAAAGAGAATGAAATACCTAGGAATACAACTAACAAGGAATGTAAAGGACCTCTTCAGGGAGAACTACAAACCACTGCTCAATGAAATAAGAGAGGACACAAACAGATGGAGAAACATTCCATGCTCATGGTTAGGAAGAATCAATATTGTAAAAATGTCCATACTGCCCAAAGTAATTTACAGATTCAACACTATCCCCATCAAGCTACCAATGACCTTCTTCACGGAACTGGAAAAAAACCACCTTAAACTTCATATGGAACCAAAAGAGAACCCACATAGCCAAGTCAATTCTAAGCAAAAAGAACAAAGCTGGAGGCATCACACTACTGGACTTCAAACTATACTTCAAGGCTACAGTAATCATAACAGCATGGTACTGAGACCAAAACAAAGATATAGACCAATGGAACAGAACAGAGGCTCTGGAGGGGTACCACACATCTACCACATCTACAACCATCTGATCTTTGACAAACCTGACAAAAACAAGCAATGGGGAAAGGATCTCTGTTTAATAAATGGTGTTGGGAAAACTGGTTAGCAATGTGCAGAAGGCAGAAACTGGACCCCTTCCTGACACCTTACACTAAAATTAACTCCAGATGGATTAAAGACTTAAACATAAGACCTAACAGCATAAAAACCCTAGATGAAAACCTAGGCAAAACCATTCAGGACATAAGCATAGGCAAGGACTCCATGACTAAAACACCAAAAGCATTGGCAACAAAAGCCAAAATAGACAAATGGGACCTAATTAAACTTCAGAGCTTCTGTACAGCAAAAGAAACAATCATTAGAGTGAACCAGCAACCAACAGAATGGGAAAAATTTTTTGCAATCTACCCATCTGACAAAGGGCTAATATCCAGAATCTACAAAGAACCAAAACAGATTTACAAGAAAAAAAACAAACAAACCCATCCAAAAGTGGGCGAAGGATATGAACAGACACTTTTCTAAAGAAGACATATATATATATATATATATATATATATAAAATAAATAAAAAAATAAAAATAAAAACATAAAAATGTTTAAAAAAAGACATATATGAGGCCAACAAACATATGAAAAAATGCTCATCATCACTGATTATTAGAGAAATGTAAATCAAAAACTGCATTGAGATACCACCTCATGCCAGTTAGAATGGCAATCATTAAAAAACCTGGAGACAGATGCTGGAGAGGATGTGGAGAAATAGGAACACTTTTACACTGTTGGTGGGAGCGTAAACTAGTTCAACCATTGTGGAAGACAGTATGTGGTGCTTCCTCAAGGACCTAGAAATAGAAATTGCATTTGAGCCAGCAATCCCATTATTGAGTATATATCCAAAGGATTACAAATCATTCTATTATAAAGACGCATGCACACATATGTTCATTGTGGCACTGTTTACAATAGCAAAGACCTGGAACCAACCCAAATGCCCATCGATGGTAGACTGGGCAAGGAAAATGTGGTACATATACACCATGGAATATTATGCAGCCATAAAAAATGATGAGTTTGTGTCCTTTGTAGGGACATGGATGAACCTGGAAACCATAATTCTCAGCAAACTGACACAAGAGCAGAAGATCAAACACTGCATGTTCTCACTCATAGGTGGGTGATGAACAATGGGAACACATGGACACAGGAAGGGGAGCATCACACACTGGGGTCTGTTGGTAGGGCAAGGAAGGGACAGTGAGTGGATGGGGAGGTCGGGGAAGGATAACATGGGGAGAAATGCCAGATGTAGGTGATAGGGGGATGGAAGCAGCAAACCACATTGCCATGTGTGTACCTATGCAACAGTCCTGCATAATCTGCACATGTACCCCAGAACCTAAAGTACAATAAAAAATAAAAATAAAAATAATAAATAGGAGTGTTTCCATGGAACCAATTTGATCAGCTTTAGTAATTGGAGTTATTTTTCATTCAGTCATCCATCTAACTGAACATTATAATTTAAAAATTAAGTCAAACACATAGGCAAAACTCATGGTGTAAATTTTGATCCTCTTTTTCAAAAATGGGAAAGCATTCACATTTCACTAATAAGTGATTAGCATTCTTCTCTTCAAAGTCCTCAAGATGGAAGAAATTCCAGGAACTAAAAGGGTTAGCTATGTGAATCTTCATGTTAATATCCCACAACCCTCTCAACCCACCCTTGCTCCTAGAATAATCTGGAAGAGGCTCACCCGAATGTTTCTGAGGTCCTCTTCAGAAATTCCAAACCCTGGGTCAGCCTCAGCATTGATCTGTTACAGAGGAAGAGTTCCTTTTGCTGTGGTAATAATCAACCAGTGTTTATAAGGCAAACATGATTCTTTCCCCCAAGGTGCAAAAGGGGAGACAAAAATAAAAGACATGTTTTTCACTGTCAAGGCTCAAAATCTGGTTACAGGACCAAATATTTCAATATGAAACATTTAAAAAGAAAGCACGCACACACACACACACACACACACACACACACACACACACACACACAACCAAGGCAACGTGGATGCTGGGAGTAGGAAGCAGAAAGAGGTCAAGAGAAGCAGTGTTAGGGAACAAGGCTCCCACCCTTGTGCCTGGGACAACACAGTCTCTCCTCCCTTCAAGGCTGTGGCCTCTGCTCCTCCTCACCTCCTCTAAGTACAAGGTGGAAGATGGTTTGTCACAGCTCCTGAGTTTACAAGTTTTCCTAGTATAAGCCCCAGATAGCAATTACAAACCCTAAGTCCAAATTCCTGGGAGAAGGAATCTGGTCAGTTCCTTTTGGGCTGGCTGTCGACCTTAGATCAAATTAGCTAAGTGATAGGAGTGGGTGTCACATAGTAAAAATCTCTAATGCCTGACAACCTAAACGAAAGAAGCTTAGGTCTAGAAGTAACAGTAGTACTTTATGATTTAAGAACTACTCCTATTATTATTATTATTGCCCTTAGTCTGATTTCCCAAGGTCAGAATATCTAGACCCAAATTAATGTGAATAATTTACTAAATACTTTTAAAACATACCCTGAAACTCAGTAATTAAAACTTTTGAATTTTCTGAATTCCTTCTCTGACCTATTCATGAACGTGTCTAAGCAAAAATTTATTTAGATTTTTTTTAAATGGTGGGATTATTTAGGATCTGAAGCGTGGAACAGCTGCAGCAAGAAAGATTGAAATGGCTCGTGAAAATGGCAGTGTGTGTGTGTGTGTGTGTGTGTGTGTGTGTGTTGAGTTGAGGAAGGCAGAAAAGAAAAAGAAAAGTTACTATATATTTAGAGGTAAAAAAGTAGAATTAAACATTCCCATAGAAGGGATTCTGCTCTCCACATGGGTCCTCACCTTATGCACTAGAATTAGGTTCTAGGAACTAATCTAATACATCATTGGACCCTCGTTACAGACTGTTTATGTGTTGGGGTAGGAAAAGCTGGTGGCATGGAAACATTTGGACTCATCTATGTGGTTTGTTGGATGATCAGTTCTTGGATCTATCAGGTCTAATACTTGCCATACTTTTAAAATGCTCTCCGGAATATCAAAGCAATTGAATCATTTGCTCTGAGTCCAGTTTGATTATTTATGAATGATTTGGCAATTGTAAATAGCCACTATTTCATAGGAGTCTCTTAGGCCCTCTTTAAGTAGAGGGAAACAAATGAAGGTCATGTGAAAGTTTCAAGACAGAAATTTTTAGTTTTCAAAATCTGAAATGGCAAGATTGCAAAGTGAAGCCATCATGGAATTGAAGTGCTCTAGAGAGAGGTTTAGGTAACCCAACTGAAAAAAATCAAACCCTTGCATTTGACGTTTCAAACTTTCAAGAGTCCAGTGTAGAATAACAGTTTATTCAACAGGTATTTGTTGAGCATCTACTGCATTTTTTTGAGTTGTCAGTCTCCTGGACTTTTTTTTAAACCCAAAGACTTTAACTTGGTAAAGCTTTGGAGATTTGTTTCTATAAACCATTTAGCTATAGAGCCATGAAGTAATATTTCTAATATGGCTATATGCCACATAACATTTCAGTCAATATGGTGGTGGTCCTATAAAACTGTAATGTATTTTTACTGCATCTTTTCTGTGGTTATGTATGTTTAGATACAAATACCTACCATTGTTTTACAGTTGCCTACAATATTCAGTATAGTAACATGCTGCACAGGTTTGTAGCCTGGGAGCTAATAGGCTAGATCATGTAGCCTACGTGTGTATAGGCTGCGCTGTTTAGGTTTGTGTAAGTGCCCTCTAAGATGTTTGCATAATGAAATTGTTTAATGATTTCTCAGGAGGTAAGCCCATCATTAAGCAACATGATTGTATATCCAAAATTGTATATACTAGTCTTTTAAACTAATGTCAATTTATTTTGATAATATAGCCTTAATTTTATTATATTTTGATAGTAATAAAAATGTAATCAGGTACGTAAAATTTTTAAACTCAAAAGTTATTATTTTTTTTTTTGGTGTTTTTAAGGAGCGACGAAAGTTTGGCCCCTTAGGATGGAATATTCCGTACGAATTCAATTCTGCTGACTTTTCAGCCAGTGTTCAGTTTATTCAGAATCACCTTGATGAATGCGATATTAAAAAAGTGAGTGAAATTGGGCCTTTTTTCCTATTTTTATTGCCCTTCTTAAATCAGGGTTCTACGGTCATTTTAAGTTCATGATATGGTGTGAATTTGCTGAGCCCCAGGGACCCCCCTTTGAAGGCACTTCTTGTTCTAATCAGGTACCTGCTGGTGCAGCCTGTCCCTGCCCCCAGTACTCACATACCACGGAAGCTAAACTGTCCGTGATGAGACTCAGTGTGTTGCAAAATACCGCAGCCTTCCTCACCTTACACTCAGGGGCCATGGTGCACTTCTGGAGAAGGTGTGCCTTAGGCCAAGCTTCTCCTCACTGGTCCTACTCTTGCCTCCTCAGGAGTGAAGATGGTATCTGCCAGCCTGCAGGAAAGTTCTTTTTCATCTTAAGTCGCTTCTTAACTGCTCAGCTTATGCATAAGAATAACAATACTTTCTAGAAATGGTCACTAATCATCATATGACACTTTGCAGTTTTCAAAGTTCTCATATATACAGGATCTCATTTTTATCTTCACAACTCTGTGAGAGTAATAAAAAAAAGGAATTACTATTTGTTTATGTATTACCCATTTTATTGATGAGGTAACAGACAAGAGAGACTAAGAGACTTCCTCAAGGTCACAGAGCAAAGAATGTAAACTCTGTTGTCCTTTCACACATATAAAGGGTTGGAAGTTAATAAGCCTTGTTAATGAGCCTCAGATCCTGTTTTCTTATCTGTAAAATGGCCATTGTTTCTGTGAGGAACAAATGAGTTAGTGTTTGTGGAAGCATAGTGCACAATGCATAATAAGGGTTCATTAAATATGACTCTCTACTGTCTGGTCTTCCTTCCCAGAGTAGGGCTTTAAGGTAATTAGAGATTCTGCAACCTCAGTGTGGGGATGGTAAGCCATGATGAGTGTTTACTCTAGAACCAAACTATCATTTTTCCTTGAAATGACAAAGGGATATTAAATTAAAAGCATGGCAGTCGGATGAAAAGTTATATTCTATGTATTCATATTCTGTGGTCAGTTATCGTTTTGGTACATACAAATAATATTTACCTTGAAATAGTTGCTTTGAAAGGAAACCAGCTGAAAAATAAAATTTTAGCCAAGAAAAAGTAAACAAAAAGCAAAGATCCTTCTTTCTCCTATCCCAAATGTATCAAGGGTTTAAAAAAAGAAAACTACTAATATCTGTAATATATTGCTAGTTCACAAATTGCTATAGAAATGAATATTTTGATGTAGTTTTAGCACACAGAATGAGATTCAGAGGATGGCAGAGAATTACATTGTAGAAAAATCTTGTGGATAAATAATTTTCTTGTTGTTCTCTTAATGATTCCAGAAAATATATTACTAAGAAAGCGTATTAAAGCAATGATTACTTGAGTTTCCTTCTTTCTTCACTAAACACCACTTTTCCCCTCTGTAACAGCTTGGCATTACTACAATGAGTATTATAGGTAATTATATCCCCAGAGTGAAAAATAGTCTTTTTTCCCTATTTTAAATAATACATGTACAATATCCTTACCAGTGTTTAGTATTGTAGATTTTCTCTTGGTGAACAAACTGTGGTGGTTCCAGCCATGTAATAGTGAAAGTGTTATTAATATAAAATGATGAATAATTTTAAATGCGAGTCTAGTGAGTGCTTCCTTTTCCAGACCTTTCCTCTAGGGAAAGACCTGAAATGTTTATAATGATGTTTTTGGGTTGACAATGAATAATACTTTTTTACTTTTAATAAAGGGCGTATCATGGAATACGGTTCGGTACATGATCGGAGAAGTACAATATGGAGGCAGAGTGACAGATGACTTTGATAAACGTCTGCTTAATTGCTTTGCCAGAGTAAGTCAATTTAGAAAAAATAAAGGTTGGAAACACATTTCACTGTGTTTTCCAATTTTGTTGTTTGTACTAGGTCTGCGAAACTTAAGCATACAGCAGAGCTGCTGCAAAGAATTAGCCAAGAAACAAACACATGTGTGCGCATGCACACACACACGCACACACGCAAACACACACACACAAAACAACCAGCAATCACTTGTGGTGCAGAGCAGAGCAATGGTCAGTTCTCGTTGGTCTAGAACTCCTTTCCCGTATAGATGAAACTGCTAGTGCCCAGGGCTTCTCCCCCACCTCCCCTCCTCCATATTCCCCATTCCTGTGCACCTCACTTGTGAGGAGACACTGGCCATCATTTCTATGCCTCTTCCTCTGAGTGAAGGCCTCATTGTGACTTCAAGCCCCCAAATAAGTGATTGGGAGATTAATCATAATTTGAGTTTTCTCATCTCTTCTATTAGATTGGACAACTGAAAATTGAGGAAGTGTTTGCTTTTTCTCTGTGCCAAGTGAAATCCACATATAACCTGCTGATAAACATTTTCTAGAGAAAATTATTTCTTAGCAATTGTGGCTTTCACATCAAGGATGAATATAATAAATAACACCTACCAGACTCAAACTCTTCTTAAAATTTTTTACATTTTAGAGAAATAATAGACAACACACGACTGGAAAAAAATCAGATGTATTTTATGGTTATTAAATTCTTTATGTTGGGACCTGTACCGGTAATTCTCTGCTTAAATGATCTTTTTTTCTTGATAAAATTAAAGCCTCAACAACAAAGCACAAGCTTTGGGAGTATTTCGATAAGCTGGGGGTTGACCAGAAAACTGAGTTTTAACCTTTACATGTTCTAGCAAGTATTTCTTTAAGCTATATATGGAGAACTGTGGAAAATAATAAGTGTGGTAAGGATGTGTGGAGGTAGGAGCCCTGCTGCTGGGAGGTCAAATGGACACAGACCTCCTGGAAAGCAGTCCAGTAATACTGACACTAGGTATCCCAGGTAGGTATATCCCAGGACATTTCTTTCTAGAAATGTCCTGGGATATACCTACCTGGGATACCTAGTTTGTACAAATGGACATGTACAAAAATATTCATGGCAGCATTGTATATGGAGCTGAAGCCAAGCATCATAGATTGTCTTCCTGGAAACAGAGGTGGTGATTTGCATCAAGTGCCTCCTCCCGTCCCTTCCTCCCAGACATGACCTTGGCTGAGGCAGCTCCCTCCCGCTAGGGCAGTTCCTGGGGAGGGACAATGCCGTAAGCCCACAGTAGCCAATACTCCAGACAGCAGAGAGAGTGAGTACCTGCTCCTGAATGAGGATTAGGTGGGACATCACAGCATTCACTACGAAAACCTAAGACTCCTAAGAGAATAGGTAAGATGTGGTGGGTGAGCACCATGGCACACTATTGCTCACCCCGTGGGGTGCAGCCTGGTGGTCATAGTCATATTAAGTGTGTGATATGACTATCTTCTGAACCAGAATCCTCCTCCTGAGTATATGTCCCAGAGAAATTCTCAGAATGTACAAAGAGATTATTCATAGCATTGTTGGTGGTAGTGGGAAGTTGAAGGCAACTTAGGTATCCATCATGGGGAAATAGAGAAGTTACCTATTGTAGAGGTCTATGGTGGTTTACAATGCAGCAGTTAGAAGGATTGTCATCTATATGACATTATGCATAGATCTTACAAATAGTGGTGAATGTAGAGCTTTAAAAAAAATAAAATGACATCTGTCAAGGAATATATGCCTAGTTCACAAGGATTAAATACATGTTCAAGGGCATATATCAAGTACACTTAAATAGATGCCCTCAGAGGGAAAAGGAGACAGTGAGTGGATATCAGAACAGAATGGGGGTAAACTTAAAATAAAAGGGGCCTTGGCCGTGTGCAGTGGCTCACACCTATAATTCCAGCACTTTGGGAGGCCAAGGAGGGTGGATCACGAGGTCAAGAGATCGAGACCATTCTGGTCAACATGGTGAAACCTTGTCTCTAACTAAAAAAAAAAAATACAAAAATAAGCTGGGCATGGTGGCATGTGCCTGTAGTCCCAGCTACTCAGGAGGCTGAGGCAGGAGAATTGCTTGAACCCAGGAGGCAGAGGTTGTGGTGAGCCGAGATTGCACCATTGCACTCCAGCCTGGGCAACAAGAGCGAAACTCTGTCTCAAAAAATAAATAAATAAATAAATAAACAATAAAAAATAAAAGGGGCCTAGATTCGTAAACCTAATAAACTCAGGAGTATGAGAAACTCATCTCTGTATTTGAGATTCAAAGGAGAAAAGAACAATGTGTTAATAAGTATACTTTGTTAGAATAATTGTAAAAGTACCTAAAATTGGAGTTTTAGCAGCGGAGTCTAAGATGTGGTTAGCTTCAGAATTAGTTCATCAGTAGAATGCTGATGGGATCGAGTGCATGGGTGAAAGAAGAGGGGAGTCAGGGTCACCCCTCGTTTTGACTGAAGCCACTGGATGCAAAATAGGACCATATAGAGAAGAGGAAGGACTGCAGCAGAAATGAGTTTTAGTGGCTAGGGCTGGAAATTAAGAGTTCAGTTTTGATCACATAACATTTGAGATTTCTATTAGACATCCAAATCAAGTTGTCTAAGACTGTAACTGCCTTGAGTGCAGGGACTTTGTCTTGTTACATCAGTGCCAAACTGAGCACCAGAAACAGAGCCCAACACTTGTCAGTGCTCAATAAATATTTGTTGAATAAAAGAACAAATGCATGAATGCAGGTGAACAAGGCAGCTGGATTTACAGATTCGGAGGTCCTGGTGGAGCTCAAGCATGGATATAAGGATCTGGAATTCTTCAGCATGTAGATAGTGACAACAGAAAGTTGTTGTGTTGGTCCAGAGCCTCCAGGGAGATGCCTGAGCCAGGAGCATGGGGAGGGGGAGGAAGAAGTGCAGCTCTCAGCCTGCTCCACCTTCAAGATATCAAACAGGGGGATTCCCCTCTCTGACCTCTCTCCTGCCTTTCTTCCTCTTCTACTTCTTCCCTATACCCTGACATTTGGCATTTCGGACAACAGAGGACTAGTTAGCTGACCACAACCCCCTCCTAGAAGCCCAAGATTCTCTGTCCTCTGGGCCTGGGTTCTGCAGACTTCCTGATCTAAAAGCACAGGGTTCCATATTCAGGCCCCAGTTCACTGGGGCTGTTGCCAAGGAACAGCAGCTCTCTCCCCACCTGAGTTATGTTACTCCCTTCTATCATCTGATTCTGGTTTCTCTGGACTCCATTCTCAGCAACTGGTGCCTGAAGTCAAAAGTTCATCTTACCATTTTTCCATTCATTTGCCCCTGAGCAGCTTCCGTGGGCTCATTTCCTCCCTATCTCAGGACTTCCCAAAGAGTAGCACAACGGTCAGTAGATTCAATTCTGTGACTGTCGGCACCCCACTTCCTTATCCCACTGAATCTTCTCTTTGCCCTACATCGTCTCCAGCCTCCTGTCTCACTTGTTGCTTTCCCTCACTCATTTCTCTGTCTAGCTTGGACCTGTTGCAGATGGTAGTCAAAAACCGGAGGTGAGTTTGGATCTTTGGCCCTAAGGACATGAGCTTACCACATGAACCTGGCTGCAGCAACCCTCTCGAGAAAGGCTGCACAAAAGCCCCACAGCCCCCACACCCTGCCTTCACCTATTTGATCTCATCTTCAGCCCTAGGCTTGCCTTCTGGCCAGCTACCTGCCTGCACTGCCTCCATTTTATCCCAGCCATGTAATCCAGAGTTGCCCATGGGAGAAGCAGTTCCACTGTAAACTCGGGTCTGCACATGGCATCCTCTGTCCTTCTGACTTTCAATTTAGGGCTTGTCTTTGAACCTTGTTTTCTCTGTTCTCAGCATCTTACAGAGTCTCTCTGCCAAAACCAACAATTGCAGAACTATATTGGGTGTTCGTGGAGGATGACAGCTCACAGAGTAGTTCCATGTAGATTTCATATTTTGACTTTGCCCCAAAATAGCCTCCAAATTTGGTGAAACTCAGCTATTTATGTATATATAAAGTGCTGGGAAAACAGGAAGAAACTTCATTTTGCTTTTACACATACATGTCATCTGGCAACACAAAATTCAGTGTGGTCATTTGCTGTCTGTGTGTTGTGGACCCATGGCCCTTGTCCCCTTAGGGTGTCTTCCTGCAATTTAAGTCATCCACATCGTGAAAAATCTAATACTTCTAAGTAATGACCATGCTCATAACACTGTTCTCTTTAATAACTTTCAACTACTCTCCATTTCTTGAATTAATCACCAGTCCTCACCCTGACATCAACAGTCATCCATGATATGACCTCACCTCACCTCACCTTTCCTGTCCTATCTCTTATGACTACCTTGTGTCCACCCTATAGTTTATTATTCCCTTAACTTGCTTCTCATTTTTGCATCAGTTGTTCTATACCTTTGCTTATGTGGCCTCCCCATTCCAAGTTGTCCTGTCAAAATTTTCTCCTTCAAGGTTTACCTCCTTATCTCCAAAAATCAACTCCTTGAGAAGGCCTCATCTGACATCCGCCTGGCTGTTCTTTGTTCCTGCCATAAACCTCCTTAGTATTTTGCTTATTTTTATTTCCTTCTGGCTCTTGCCTTAGTGCACTTTGTATTGTGATTATTAAGTAAATGACTTATCCCTCCACTGGGTTACAAACTCCTTGAAAGAAAGGACTGTTTGTCTCTTATCTTTGCATTCTGTTCTGGTGCTAAGCTCAGCCTGCTCATGCATAGGAGATGAATAGGGTAAAACAGAGAGAGAATCAGTACACAGGGTATTTCAGGGCAATCCCTGGATCTAAAAAGAGCTGGAAGAAGGAGGTACGGGGAAGGTACTAGAGAACATGTGACCAACCAGGGTAAGGCACTGTCCCTCTTTCACGTCAAATGCTCCTAGTCATTCAGACATCACGCCTGCATTTCCACTCTTCCTGTCTTACTATTATTTCCTTCCCCACTGGGGGAAGGAAAATTGCTTTGCCTCAAATCTGGCTCATAGGCATTTAGCATCATTTTTTTTTCGTTTCTCAGAGTAAATCTATTCACACCAACCATATATTTGTTCTCTCACTGTTTTGTCAAAGATAATCAATTCATATGGAATAAGAAAGGGATGTCTTAAGGCGAACAGCAAGGCAGTTGAATACATTTACTTCTTGTGGACAGGGACATAATTAGCAAAGGAAGCTCTTTAACTCAGGGTGGGAGGGGAGATGCTAGCATGGATTTCTCCTGGCCATGTGCTGGTGCTCAGTGCTGTGTGAGTGAAACTGTTCACAAGCACAGCCTCCTGGTATGAGCCCCACATGGGGGAGAAGTGGGCTGATGAAAATGCTCAGATACTCTCTTGTGTGGGTGGGTATTGCCTCACAGACTTTGTGGTATGTTCCTACTCCTCTTCTAAAGTGGAATTTAGAGTTGTCGAATGACTCAAGTAGAGAATGGGCTTGTAGAGTTGCTCTCTTGTCCTTACTCTTAGCGAATGCCTTCTTCGGTGTTAAACAGAGGTCAGGTCGGATTGTGTTCTGGCCTCTCTCTTTTCTCCATATATGTGCTAATTATTGTTAAGGCACTCTTAAAATCAATATTGAAAACTCTATTAAAATGGAAATAAGTTGGCCCCCCTCTCCTTTCTGGTAGCAGTTTTCATTTAGATGCTCATCAATTTTATTTCTTTTATTTTCTCTCACATACAGGTCTGGTTCAGTGAGAAGATGTTTGAACCGTCATTCTGCTTTTATACTGGATATAAAATCCCCGTATGCAAAACCTTAGACCAGTATTTTGAATACATCCAGTCACTGCCTTCCCTAGATAACCCTGAAGTCTTTGGGCTTCACCCTAATGCTGATATCACGTAAGTCACTGGCATTTTTTAATTTGAAGGGGTCATTTGTAACTCAGTCTGGCAAAAACAGTGCATTTCATTTTCTCTCCTAATCTCTCTCCTTTTTTTACTTTACTGTGAAAAGTAGTGTTGCTTCCTGTCTCCCAATTACAACTTTGTCATATCTTGGGCTGCTCTCCTTTCACTAAATCCTGATGCTCCAGTGTTGCTGACAATGTTAAACTCTAATTTATGCATTGATCATTTCTCCTCTATCATGTCATAACACCGGTTGGTGTTAGTGGTAGCGGTGCTCTCCACCGACAGGACAGTGGTCTGCCAGCTCCTCTTGTCTTTCTTCAAAAACTCATTAAGAATATAATGCTCATAAATAGAATCTAAAAAGCCAGGCAAGAACAGATGGGAGGGTGAAGAATCATATTTCTGCCTGATCCTCTCTCTCACGGTCCTTCTCCCTCACTTGCTCATCTGCATCCATCTGTCATGCACTGCTCATGGTGGGCACAGTGCAGTGAGCACTTAGCACCCGACACAGATGCACAGCCCCGGGAGGAAAGAGCGGAGGGGCTCAGCTCTTCATGAGGTCGCTGCTCATCACCCCTAGAGAAGAAATGCACCCCAGTCCCAAACCCCTTGGAATGAGGTATCACTCCTCTCTTTAGAGATCCCTACCAGAAAGTAAGACTGCCCACAGGGAGGGTTTCAGAAACCCAAGTGCCTGAACTGGAATCCTTTGGAATGGACCACATTTCCTCTGCAGCCCACTGATGAAAAGCTACAAGGTTTACATTCGGGAAAATGGTTTCAGGAAATGGAAGAAACCAGGGCTTCTCTGGCAGATTCTAAGCTAAGAATACCCGAAGAGTGGGGCAATCCTCTCTCCTAGTCCCTGGCCTACTGTTGTAACTTTAATAATTCTCTGGGTTTGGACATGGACATTTTCCTGACCTTGCCAGATGTCCCAGGAGTCCCAGTTTGCTGCCAATTACATTGTCTTCCCACCTCTGACCACCCTCCTAGCTCCTAGCATGAGGCATGCACTTTTGTCCCACACCTGTATTGATTCCACCTTCTCTGTATCCTCTCATCCCATCCATGCTGCTTTTCAACCTCAAAGATTTGGACATGATTGAAAATACCTACAAATGCCAATGCTCCATTCTGCCCCTGTGATGGAACCGCGAAAACTTATTGGTGGTAGTTCTTGCTGTTATTTAAAGAGGCTTTCTGGGGACAGGAAAGAAGTGAAGAAATAAAAAGGATTCCTCAGGGATTGGGTTGACAGTCAACTCTTACATTCTATGAAAGAGGGAGCACAGGAAAGGAGTTTTGCTTTAGCTGAGACTTTTAAAATGTGAGTCACACCATATCAACCCTCTGCACAGAATCCTCCCAAGGTTCCCATGTCACTCTGAGTCAAGGTCAAAGACCTACAGTGACCTACATAGATGACCTACAAAACTAAATGATGCCACTGCCCTCTACCTCCCCACCCTGGCTCTTTCAGTCCTCTCCCTCCTTCATGCCCTCTCAGCTCCTGTTACTCAGGCCAGACAGCTTCCTATTACTCAGACAGGCCAGACTGCCTGTCACAGGATACTTGCACTTCCTGGAACCTCTCGCCCTCTAGATGTCACTTTGGCTCACCCTTTTACCTCTTCTGGTCTTTGCTTAGATGTTGCGTTTTCAATGATCCCTTCCCTGGCTGTGCTATTTAAAGACTGCAATCCATTCCCCAAACCCTGCCCAAGACCCTGTCCTCCTGGTCTGCTCTTCTTTATAGTTTGTATCAGCCACTGACATACTCTACACTTTAATTATTGATTTGTTATTGTCCAGCAACCACCACGAAACCCTAAGTTTCACTAGATCTGAAACTTTTATGTGTTTTCACTGCTGCATCCCTTGTGCTACAGCAGTGCCTGGTGCTCAGGAAGTGCGGCTAAATTATTCTAGAGTGTGAAGGATGTGATCAACGAGGAGAGTCCATAGAAAGATGCCACAAGTTCACTTGAGTGGGCAGAGAAACAACTGATAAGTCTTAATCCACTTGAAAGTTTGTGACTGAAAATGTTCTCATATGAGGACTCTCAACTTTGATTCTATCCTTGACAAGAGACTGGGGAGTTGTGAGAGCTGGTTCCCGGAGGATTCCACCAAGATGAAACCATCTCACCCTCACCCAGAGTGATGGCGCATCTATGTCTTGTTCACTGCAGGCTTTTTCACTCACTAGCTCAAAAGAAAGATGAACCAGGGCTAGAAAAGGTCCAGAGCAGTACAACTCAAATGCAAATGAGATTGGAGACAAAGACAAACTATTTTTTCCTTAGCTTTTATTTGGAATGATTACAAACTCTCAGAAAAGTTGCACGTACAGTAAACATCCACACCCTCCACCGAGATCCAACAATTGTTAACGTTTTGATCCATTTGCTTTTTCTCCTTCTCTATTCATATCTCTACATGTTTATGTATCTACAGCTGTATCTATCTATAATCACACATATTTCTGTGTGTGAGTGCTTGTATGCCCTCTCAGTGGATAGAGCTAGGAAGCATGTATTTTTTTTTAAAACATCATGAGTTAATACAAATAACTCCAATTCCAATTGTATACCTCAGGGTTCTTCTTTGTCTTCCCCATTCCATATAGATTATCTCTTTTCTCCCACTGTAAAAACTCTGGTTCCCGGCAACCTCAATATGTGTATTCCTTTATTTGCAATTACTATACCAATACCACTACCAGCAACAAACCTGTTAAGTAGAGGTCAAGATTTCTTTGCAGCTCTTTTTGTCTGTAGGATATATTCCACTAAGTATACAGAGTACTGTGTTCAAAAGTTAGTTGGATTAATGATGTTTTCCTGTGTGGTTATGCTATCAATTGATATATAGTTGTGTTTATTTGTTTCTGTTTGTATTACATTTAAGGGTTTCCTCCCCATATTTGCTATAGTTTTGAGTATGTAAAATATGAACGTGGTTCCAAAGTTACACCTCCATAGCAAGTTGTTCTTAGAGAAGTCTCAGACCCTTTCAACCCATTGCCCCCTTCTTTTATGGGTAGCCAAATACAGTTTTTGGTTTATTGTCCCTGTGTTTATTTTGCATGTACATACATATATACATATTTTTATTACTCTTTCTTTCTTATACAAAGGTGCCATATTATATCTATTATATTGTGTCTTGCTTTTTTCATTTAACAATGTATCCTGTAAATCACTTCGCATCAGGTCATAGGTGTATCTTCCGCATTATTTTTTACAGCTGCATGCCGCTTGTGCAGCTCTTTGCCTCTGGATGGGCATTTAGGTTGCTTCCAATATTTTGCTATCTCAAATAACTCTTCAATTAATAACTTTATGCTTTTGGACTCTCATAATATTAGACATGTATTTTCAGGGCTAATTGTTATGGGTGAGATTGCCAGATCAAGATTTAGTGAATATTGCCAAATTCCCTTATATAGGGTTACACTGTTTTGTACTTTTACTTGCAGTCTGTGAGAGTGCCTGTTTCTTCAGAATTTCGTCAACAGAGCACAGATGAGGCATTTGAATATTCACCAATACGACAGTGACAAATGTTATCTCAGCATAGTTTTAGGCCACTTCTCCTATTTTGAGTGAAATTTAGAAAATTTTCATATACTTAAGAGGTATTTATATGTAGTGTGTCCATTTCTTTCCAATAAGGTTTTTATTCTTTTTATTTAACTTTAGGACTCATTTATACGTTAGGGATAGCAACCCTTTGTTTGTGATATGCATTGCAAATACGTTTCTCAGTTTATTTCGCTTTGCTTGTGATTTTCCCCCTATTGATCAGGTAGAAGTGTTACTGTTGTTTTATTTTTATGCAGTCAAATCTATGCCTACATAAATTATTTTCTTGCTGTTGTTACATCTGGAATTTTAGTAATAGTAAGAAAGTTTTTTCTCACATGAAGGTATAAAGCAATTATCTACATTTTATTTTAGTGCTTGTGTAGGTTCTTTTTTACATTTAGTTATTTTACCCATTTGGAATTTATTGTGGCATAAGTATGGATGAAATTATTTTTCCAACTAGCAATCCAGTTATCCTATCACCAGTGATTTTATTATTATTATTATTTTGAGATGGAGTCATCTTCTGTTGCCCAGGCTGGAGTGCCGTGGCATGATCTCAGCTCACTGCAACCTCCAGCTCCTGGATTCAAGTGATTCTCCTGCCTCAGCCTCCTGAGCAGCTGGGATTACAGGCACACGTCACCACGCCCAGCTAATTTTTGTATTTTTAGTAGTGATGGGGTTTCACCATGTTGGCCAGGCTGCTCTTGAACTCATGACCTCAGGTGATCTACCAGCCTTGACCTCCTGCTTCCTTTAACATAGAATTTCCTTCATAGGTACTTGGGTCCATTTCTGGGCTTTCTATTCTGTTTTCCTTTCTACTTTGTAGCAATCTGTTTTAAATTTAGCTCTGTCTGGTAGTTTTATAGTCTCCCCTCATTGCTCTTTTTTTTTCTGAGCTTGTCCTAGCTATTGCTGCATGTTTTTTTTTCTATTGTTGTCAGAAATTGGTGTTGAATTTTGTAGAATACCTTTCAACATTTATGGAAATAATCACATGATTTTCCCCAAACACCTAAAAAGTTGGTGAATTATATTAATAGATTTCCTAACTCAAATTTTCTACAGATAATCTGAGATTAATACCACTTAGTTCTGATGTATTATTCCTCTCTTAATGTAGTGATAGGCTCTATTAATGGTTCATTGGGGAATTCTGCATTGATATTCATATATAAGGGTGGCCTAGAGTTTTCTGTGGCATCTTTATCAAGTTTAATTACTAATCAATGTTATATTTGCTTTGTAAAAATTTGGAAGTTTTGCCAGGCATGGTGGGTTGCTTATGCCTGTAATCCCAGCACTTTGGGAGGCTGAAGCAGGCAGATCACTTGAGGTCAGGAGTTCGAGAACAGCCTGGCCAACATAGTAAAACCCTGTGTCGAC